GCTGCTGCTGCTGCGAAGGCGTCGCCATCCGCTCCATAATGATGCGGAAGGATCCGGCAGGATGGCAGACTAGCAACACACCATCCCCACATTCTGTAGGGCAGCACAGGTGTGTTGTGCAGCGGAAAATTCCTCATCTACACCTGTGTTTCCTTCCAGGACATCCACAAAGAATAAAAGTCACACAAAGTGTAAGTATGATGATATTTATGGGGCGACAATATGCCCTTTATGAACAAATAACACATAATTTTATGTGAATAATAGGAAAACAGAAAAGTATGGAACAGCCAAGGGTATAAATTATATTGAAATTATACAAAGATAGGTGTATTCAAATTAAATAAATTATATTATTATTGAACCTTTAAAAATAAATTAAATTGCGATAAATCGATATTCTGTTCAATATCAGACTAATATAATCGAAAAAAAATAATTAATTAATTAATATCATTTTGAGTATAATTTTTGATAATATCGATATGTTATGTTTAAATTCGATACTTTTAGAAAATTTTTAAATTCTATATATTACAATATATTACATTTAATATTGTAATTTATTGATTTTAATTCTGTTTTTTATATGTCATAACGGACTTTCCTTCTCGATCGCTTCAATTTGGGAAAAAAAAACCCTCATTAAATTAATATTTTTAGAACTTTTTAAATGTTTTAATTCTAAAAATGTACTAAACATGAAAAGCAAAACCAAACTCTATCGAATAGACACCCATTATTTACTTATTTCATGTGAAACCAAAACAAAAATCGACTACCGCAGAGAGGAGAGGTAATTTGGGCAGGCCAATGGCCTCCGCACGCTCCAAAAGGGAGATTCGACGATTAAGCATTGGGGGTCAGAGGTCAGGGATGCCAAGGAGAAGGTGAGGATTGCGGTGGGCCAAGGCTCATTACGACCTCGCCACTGCCACCCCCCAACAAGGACCTTAGCCCAGAGAGAGAGATAGAGATTATACAGAACTTGTGGTCTTTGGCGGGACATTATCCTCGCTGATTCGATTGGAAATAACCACAAAGAGGGATATAGAGAGAGGAAGAGATATAGATATACATTTATATATATAGAGAGAGAGAGAGAGAGAGATATATATATGTACACATATAGAGGGAGGGAGAGACTTGTCCTACAGGCGATTGATCTATTTATTAGGGCAAAGTTTTTCAGGGGGAGTTTTATCGGCTTAAGCCCAAGTTGTTGACAGTTTTTGGGTTCTTTATGGTTTTCATTTTTTTGAATGTATTCAATGAACGTTTTTTTATTATTTATTTAACTAATTCCTTAGATATACATGTCTAGATATATATTTAATTGACTTTATTTATATTTATTTTGGCTGCAAATAGAAAATGACAAATAGCCAGGGGAAGAACACAACTTGTCAGCTTTTCTCGTAACATGTTGCTCTCTGTTTTTTGTTCTTTTTTTTTATTTTATTTTGTTTTGTGTCCCTTGCCTAGCTTGTGATTACAACATTTTTCATGGCTTGGACTTTGTATACTGCATATATTCATGTCCCTTATAGCCCAGTTGTGTGTTCGTGTACATGGCTCACGTGCAGCGTCATTTGTTTGCCAGTTGACCAGTTGTCCTGTTGCCCACTTTTCCCCTTACTTTTTCATACACTTTTCCCCTCACTTTTTCCTACACTTTTCCTCAGCTTTTCCCCTATTCCAAACCAGCCTCGCAGCGGCTTGTTGGCCACTTTTGTTTGCTCGTCGTAACTTTAGTGCTGTGTCAATTTCAGGCCACGACATTGCGACACATTCTTCTCCTTCTGGGAGTCCCCCAAAAGAAACCCCTCCATTGTTATTGACTATTTATTTTTCATTTAGTTTATTGCGGATCAAGGGCTCGTGGCCAGCCAAACAATGGTTGGGGAGCAAAAAAAAAAAAAAATATATATATATAAGGACAAGTAAAAAAAAAGGAATAATAATAATAGAGAAATGACAGATACAGTGGCAAAGTGGAGGAAAAAATCGTACTAATGATTCGCGGCACCTGGCGTCGCCTTCATTAAAAACGCATCAATCAAGGGGAAATCAATGGCCGGACAACAACAGATTTGTGCTGTCAAAGACACCACCAGCGACGATGACGATGATGATCTGCGGGGCAGTGATGGGCGATACAACTATTGCAAATATCGATTGTACAAGAGAAAAATATACAATCGGAAAACAAAAAAAATATGCATTTTTGGGAACGATTAATGAACTCTTATCGGTATATTTTCTAGGAGGTTTCTTCTCTCAAAATAATTAAAAATGTATTTTTTAATATATACTATTAAACCTAAGAAAAAAGTGTATATAATATAAGAGAATTTTAAATTATTTTGTTGTTATTTATCGAATTTTAATCGATATTTTCACCAAAACTAACATGAAAATTTATCGTTATTGTTCTGCAAATTTTTTTCTACCAATTATATGCACATCCCTCAAGGATATAAGCGAGGATAATACAATGACAAGGACAAGTTGATGGCAAATCAGCCTAATTGCCAGACACCATCGTCGGCCATCATTATCATCATTATTCATTATCATCATTAGCCAATTGAGGCAAATGACCGAGGCACTCATTAAGTCCCGTGATTGAGTCGCGTTTCGAGTGCTCCTAATCTGGCAACTAAAGTTGGGCATTCCGCGTACGACAGTATCTCAATGCCAGACTCCGGATTAATGTGAAGCACCAATTGCCATTCTCCTTCCCGGTAAGCGATTGTCAAGTGCCTTTGCGATTTAATCTCTTTAAATTGTTAAGTAATTTTCATTGGAATAAAGTGTTTAAGGGTATATTTATACATATAAAAGATTTCTACCTAAAATTCTCTAAATCTTTAAATTGAAAATATTTTCCAAAAATTTCGAACCCAATTTCCATACAATTTTCTTCTATCAAAATGTCCCAAAAAATTCAATCTCATTAAGTTATAGTAGTTTGTTAATTTTCTCTTAGTTTAGCTCAATTTTTGATTACGCTTTCCCCTTTTGGTGGCTCTTGCCCTGTCATCCCTCAAAAACCCACATATCAAGCATACGCCACGTAAGCCAGCGCAAAGCCGAATAACATCGAAATTTTGCATTTGCAAATGTGCTTCTGCTCCGCACAGTAACTTTTCCCTTTTAGAATGGGAAATGCAAATTTTCTCCCTAATAACATGCCAACCAGCAATCTGACCGAGAAGTCAAACAGTGAGAAAAACAAAGTAACTTAGGAATAAAATCATATTAAAATCATATTAAAAAAATATATATACATTTTATAGGTTTAAAAAATTATTCAAAGTAAAATTTAATTATTTCCCTTTAACATTTGGGTACTTTTCTTGCCGTGTGATAACATGTTGTGGCATGTTGGGATCGACTGTGGCTGGCAATGTAGACATGGTCGACCCACTTAGGAGCTTGCGTTCGCGATGGAGCCGCTGTCGAGGCTGTCGCGCTCCGTTTGCTGCATAAATCATGCGCCAAAAGCACAAGTCCTGCTCCTAGAGGTGGCTCTTAGGCCGCGCGCACGCTGGCAGCGGAAAGCGGAGCTGAGAGCGGAGCTGATAAGCGAGCTGATAATTTCAGTGCAAATTTCTCAGCTCAGCTCCGCTTTCAGTGTGCGCGCTCTCATACAAGGTGTGTGTTTGTTTCAGAGAGCTGATAAGCCGTCAGCTCCGCTTTCAGCCGGCAGTGTGCGCCCGGCCTTTGGTGGGCGGTTCTGCCTGAGCTCCAACAGTGGCTCAAATGAATTTGTAAACAGGTGCAAATTAGGTCAATATTTATGTCTGTGTGCGAGTCGTAGTCGTCGTCGTCGTCGTCGTCGGTCCGTGTTTGTTTATGGCGACAGCTGCTCGGCCTGTTGCTCGCGATGCTCCCTCCCTATAAATCCATATAGCCATCAAGCCATCCCACCATCCCGACATCCATACATAAACATGAGGAGCAAAGACGACGACGACGACGACGACGACAACGATGGGGACGACGTCACTGACCCAAAATTCAAATGCTTATGCGGGCCAGCAGGAAGTGATGGGCTGGAAACGGAAACCCAAGGAACGCAGCTTTGAAATCAGACAAGAAAATAATTATCATAAGGGAGATTAAATATAAAATATAAAAAAAAAATCGATTTAATAGTATATATATTGGTAACTAAATAAATTCTCCTTGATTAACTCTATTTATCATAAATAAAAATATCGATAAATATCGAAAAAAGTTTTATAATATAATAAACAGTCCGAAATCTAAAACCTTAAAGTTAAGTTCCAGCCCCAAAACATAAATAAATTGTATATTTTATAAATAATTCAACTATTATTAAGCCATGTAATGAAACATATATCGAATTATATCGAATGTATGTAACAGTTTCTGATCTGATCTAATCTGATCTCAAGACAATAAAATTTGTACATTTTAAACATTTTACTAGTATAGCTTTATGTTTTAAAAAGTTCTTTGGCTCTTCCCTGGCATTTACTCATTATATTTATGGCCAATAATCTAACGCTTTTAGTCAAGCTTATAAGTTTATAGAGGAGACTTTAAGCACACACACACAAACACACATGTACATACAGCCCCCAGTTGCACACCCACCTCACCCCACTGACTAACAGCTTCTTGTGTGGTTTTTTGCTTTTAATGTGTTTGAAGCTCTTAAGTCTTTTGATAAAATAAACTGAAAATCGATTTTAATTCAATAAAAATGGAAATGGTAACGCCCGCCTCCTCTTTGAGGAAACCAGTGTCAAGGAACCACGCCCCCCATGAGCCCCCTGCTTATGGTCATGCTGAGAGAAATAATTCTATTTTTAAGAATTCTCAATACACTTGGAAATGGTGTGATGTTTAACATTTTGAAATATTTTTTTTAAGCAATGCTAATATTTTACATTTATTAAGCTCATATTTAATATAAACATTTGTTAATTTATTAATTATTTTTTTCACTGCACGTCTTAGCTTACCTCAGACATTTTGCGTTGTTTTTGTTTCGTTTCGTTCGAGTTCAGTGGAATTCTTCAACTTTTGTTGATGTTTCCAGTATTTGCTTTCTTGTTCTTGTTGTTGTCGTTGTTGTTGTTGCTCCGATGCGTGTGCGTATGTGTGCGTGTGTGTGCGTGTGCGTGTGTCTGTGTATGAGTGCCTTCAGCCTTGGCCTTGGCCATGGGCCACTGTGGCGCCAGGTTGTTCATGCAACATCCTCCGATCGACGCGCGCCCACATGGCGTATGGGTGATTTTTGCCCACCGACTTGTCTCGAGTTCGTTGTAATGTTATTCTTGTTACTGTTGCTTTTGTTGTTCGCCAGTGCGGCAGCTGTTGTTGCTGTTGCATCATGAGTGACTGCAACAAGTGGGTGCCGGGCATAGTAACAGCTGGCAGCAAGTGCAGTGCCGCCGCCTCATGGCTGCCACATGCTAATGCCTGCGACTGTCTCAAGTCTGAAGTGTGCCTGAAAATGGGGAGGTACACAGAGAATAAATATTAGTTAAAAGGCAGAGCATTTTGCAAAATTTGATTTGTTAAATAAATAGCTGAAGGTAATAGTTAAGAATTTTGATTGCCAACTAATATTTTGGCTTTTGAAATCTATTAATTTTAAGTAGCTTCAATTATTGTTACAGCGAAAAAATAAATTCAATATAATATATCGACAGAAATATCATCCGCGATAAATAAATTAAAAAAATCTCTTAAATGATCTAAAATAAATCTCAGTGAGAACTGAAGTTAATCAATCAATAATCGGGCGATCAATCAGTCAAACAATCAAACCTGATTCAAACCGAAGGAGGGAGATGGGGGCGATGAGGTAGAGGTGTCAGGTTTTGTTTTATTTTTGTTATTATTCTTATTTATTATTTTTTTTTCATTTCGAAATGACCTTAGTGACTTGGTGAGTTCAAAATAAATTTCAAGTTTTTCTGCTTCGCTGCTGCACTTATCGTGTTTATCGATATCGCTTGGCGGCTGTTTGTCTGGCTTTTAAAGGGGGAAAGAGCTACGATATATAAATACTATATATATAGAGAGAGAGAGAGAACTCGCTTGGCTTTGATTGAATTTGTCGCCGTTTCTAATTAGCATCTTTTAGCTTCAAAAAGTCTCTTCTCTCTGTCTCTTGCAGCTTCCCAGCTCTGAGCTTATCCAATGTATCAACTTGTTTGTCAGTTTTTATCATCGCTCAACGAAAACTTATTTTCCAAGCTATTTCCCAAACTTTGGCTGTGCGAAAAACTTGAGAAAAAGAAAACGAAAACATGAAAAGACAACGCCAAAATATTTCTTCGAGTATCTAATGTATGTGAGAATCATTCAAGAGTTGAGCAGATTGTCTGTGACATAGTTTTCTGGAAAACAGAGTAAATTTTTTCTTTAACACTCACTTTCTTAAGTGTTTTTATTGCTAAAAGAGTTATCTAGAATTTATTTAATATTAAATACTATTTAAGGAATATATTTTACTATGATCATTTTCATAATTTCTATACTCTAGTTTAAAGTTTTCCATTTTCTTACTAAACTGGCCATAACTCTACAAAAATTTAGATAATCAATTGCTGTTGCAAACAATTTACGAACATAACCATAAAAGCGAGAAGAATCGTAGAGAAAAGTTGCGTAAAGTCCGCTTATCCTTGGTAACCCTCTCTGGGTACTTTCCCCCTGAAACAGCGGGAATCCTCTCAGCCGTTGAGGAATGGAGAACGGAGCACAGAGATGGTAATCGGGACGGGCACACATAATGCATAATAATGGACCCAATGATAGTGACGATGTGGGCACGAATCCCGCTTGTTTTTTGTTACTGCTTCCGCTCGTGAGAAAGCGTGGCGGGAAATGCGGGCGCGGACAGTGGGCGGAGAGGTGGGTGAAGGGGAAGGTCACAGCATGGTGGGCAATAATCATATAATGATACCACAAATAAATTCTATTCAAGCACATAAATTGTATCAGTGATGAAGTGTTACTTTAAGTCAATTTTTGAGCTATTTTTGGCAAACATTTTCAGGGATTATAATAAATTTTATTTTTTAAATATTTTTTAATTAAATATAATGAAATAAATTTTAGATATTTGCATAATTAAACTAATATTGTAATTTGCAAACAAATATTACAGAATAAATTGAAAATAAATACAAAAGTAAATTAATAGTTAAAGAAATAACTTAGAATTTAATTTTGAATACAAATTTTATTTTTAAACAAATTTTACAAAAAAAAACTATTTCTTGGCAACTATTTACCATTAAATCGGTCTAATGTTTATTTCAAGAACAAATTCCTTTTAAAACTTGATGGAATTTGGCGGTCTTTGATGTTTAATTTTTTACGAATGGCTGAAAATTTCGCTTAAAAATTCTTTTTTTACTATTTGTTTACCTTTACTTCCTGGTTAAACCAAAGCATGAAACATAAAATATGGCGAAAAAAGTACAGAAAGTTCTGCATAAAAATGTAATTACAGGGTGTTGCAAAAATAAATTAAAATATATATATATGTGACGGCGATTCTCGGTTGACATAAATAATATTTGAGGAATGCCAGAAATTCCTGGAATGGCCTGCACTCTGACCATTTTGAGATTCGAATGTCACAAATGAGTATCTTAACCCCACCAAGGGCTCCGATCATTTCATTTTCTTGTATTTTCATTTTCATTTTTGTTTTTTTTTTCTTTGCTTTTCTTTATTTTTCATTTTTATTTTACGCCAAATACGACGAAATTTAAAACCAACAACGGCCAACAACGAAATTGTAACCGAAACAAGAGTGCCAGAAAGACAAATAGAGACGGACGGACGACAGACTGACAGGCTGACAGACAGACAGCCAAAAGGCATACAAAAAAAGCTCTGAGCTCACAAAGAATACTTTGGTGAAGAAAAACCGAGAGGGAAAGTGTTCTTTCTGAGGGGCGAGAAAAAGTTCTGAAATCCCTCCTTCGGCAAAAAAGTACTTTAGCGGCCGCGAAAAATATCTTTAAAATGCCAGGGTTAAGCCAAGGAGTTAGGCCCCGACTTGACCCGTTTTTGTTTAAGTTTCTTGACTTTCAGAGAATACAATATATAAATTATTTGTTTTAATTCATTATTATTCATAATTATTTATTTAACACTTAATATTTTTTATTTACTTATTATTAAAAGATAAATTAGTTTTCGAAAACTACGGAAAGACTGTGAACGATATGCACTTAATGTCCAAAAGCCATTAGTTAACCTGGCTTGCTAATTTAAAAAATAGTTAACGTTTTTAATTTTAAGGCTGACATATATGACTATTGCCACGTCTACAAAGCCTCAGAGTTATTTTTAATTTGTTTTTTAATATTTTATTTAAATATTTTATGGCAAATAGTTGCTGAAATTGCTTCGGAGTGTATTTTTCGAGAAATGAAACTCCTTTATAATACATAGAATAAGTAAATATCGTTTATATTGTCGAACTATTGGGACTATCGATATAATAATGATATATTATCAAGTATATTAAAAATTTGTAGCTTGATATTAGAGCTGGAAATAATTCGACTTTTGGTGAATCGATTTTTTTTTCTAAAAAATTCTACAAGTACTCGATTATAATCGAAAAAAAATGAAATGTACATAGAATACAAAAAATTTCGGAAATTCTGGATTCCTAAAACAAATTATAATTAAAAAGAATAAATCCAATTCTAATTATATTTATAATTTATTTCGATGTATCGAATAAATTAAAAAATCCAATAATTGATTATAAAATCGATTTTATTTCCAGATTAACTTGATTTATAAATAATTTTGAGTTCGACATAAAAATAATATTTAAAAACATAATAATTTTTGTAATTTCCACAAAACCCAAATACTCAATATCGATATTCAATATTAATTCATTTTTTTTTCTTATATTTTTCCCATCCCTAGCGTGTGTGTGGGGCGTGGACTGGAGAGAGGGCATTAACAAGTTCAAACACTTCCTTCCTGTCCGACACTTGTGCACTTGCTATCTCCGATCTCCGGTCTCCGATCTCCTCTCTGTGTCATTGCCCGAGATTCATCTCTGACATTGCCGGCGGCGGCATTATCATAATTATTTATTGTAAATCGTTCGCATGCAAAGGAGAGCGATTACTTCCTGTTTTTTGTATTATTACTCTTTTTTTTCTCAGATGAGTATATATTTTATGGTGCAGCTGCGAAGATGCTGGCAGTGGTGACGGTGTCTCGGGTTACGGCACTTGCTCTGCCGGTTGCCCAAGCACTTGGTGGGCTTCGATCGAGATCGGGAGCGAGATCCAGAACGAGATCGAGATCGGCAGAGCAATGTCAGGCCCAGATCGAGTGTGAGTACGAGTTTGAGATCTCCCCACGCGATATATGTACATATGTATATATACTATATATATTATATATATGTGCTGGCAGTCTGCGCTGTGTCTGCGTCGTAATTAATTTGTATCAGCAGCTGATTGCTGCAGTTGTCATGCCTACGGCTCATTGTAACGATGGTGTAACTGGCATTCCACTTCTTCTTATGCTTTTTTTTCTGCCAGTGCACAAGTGACTTGCAATGACGCATCGAGGCGACAGCCGCATCAGTAAATACTAGAACTCAATTCCATATTGTTTATACAATATTTATGGCGGCATGGCGGGGGATTATGTCATTTGACAAAGCGCAATTGTTTGCTCATTTACAGCCCCGATATCGGGTATTTGAATGAACCCCCTTTGGCTGGGCCAAGTGCAGCAGCAGCGGCAGGAAGCAGACGTTTAGATAATGCAACACATTCGCACCGTTGCAACAGTGACAAAGTTCGGGAATGCAATCGGAAATCGTAATTGGCGCAGTGTGCACAGACCGATTAGGATTGCTAAGTGGTCGATAAATGCCAAGACTTTGATATCTGCCTTTCTGTAATAATATGTGATAGACACGAGGACCCATTCATAACTGATAAATGCACACAGCAAAATAAACTTATATACTTAATGTATAAAAGTAATTCATAAATATATCAATAAATGAAACGATAAATAAGAATATTACTACAAATGTCAAAAATATTTATTATATATTTTAGTATTGCCTGCTAGTCGAAAGAATAATTTTGCTTATCATCGAATTAATTGAAAAATGTATAAAAATAATATTTTTAAAGAAATATATAACAATTATATTATAAACCAAATCGATTAATTATCGAATTAATCGGAAAATCTATAAATGCATTCTCTTCTTTATAGATAATTGTTAGATACCAATTCTTACTCCAGAAGGAGTAAATAAGTATACAATAATGTACAATATATACTTGGTATTAATAATATTAATAAAAAAACATTTATTAATTATAGAATTATTTAACGAAAAATATGTACCGTAAAAATATTTAATTTTAATTTATTTAATTTAAAATTCAAAATCTTAACTATTATATAAAACCCATAAAATATTTATATACTTAATCCAACAAATATATCGATTAATTATCGAAATATAATGCCATGAAGTAAAAATTGTTAGCTAATCAACCCAGATATCATGCCATTAATATACGGAAAACCCATAATAATGTTACAGCTTCTTCTTATTCTGTGACTGATTTCCACTTTTGTCATATAAAAAAATATATATACAGTTGCAGTTACAATTATGCGTGTGCATATATCTATTTGCCTGCCACATTGCGATTTCGTAGTGTGCGGCTTTTTGGGCTTTTGCGGCTTTTGCGCAATGATTATGCACAAATTGCTCATTAAAAATTGATATGATACGCATTAGTTTCCAGCAGCGTCATCGTCATATTCATCATCATAAGCTTTTGAATACGCACACACTGGGAGAACAACAAAAATAACTCAAATTCCTGGGAATTAAATACAATTTCTACACTGACAACGAATGATATTCAAGTCTAGATGATTTAGTAAATAAAACTACAGAAAAATTAAAAAAAATATTGTTTAAAGAGAGAGAACTTTCAGTTTTTTGTAGATATATTTTTACTAGATTTACCTTTGATTTTTCGTTTGCTTAAAATGGATTTTTAAATACATTTCTGTACAAGAATCTTATGAAATATTTTTAAAAATTATAAAAATATAAAATAAATATAAATAAAATATTTATTCTTGCCTGACTTTGCCTCACTTTGAACTGATTCCGTTTTGAATTCTAATCTCCATTCTCTACTCTCCCCGCACTCGGATCGCAATCACGACAAGAAAATGCCAGAGACAGTGAGCCATTTATAAATATTTAAAGTAAATTACATACACTTCTCCTTTGTCTCTGGCATCGATTTGTGTGTCTCCGTGTCTCTGTGCCTCAGTTTCTCTGTTTCAGAGCGACATGTGGGCCTATTTATATGGAGCCTGCATTCGTGTATAATCACTTGCTAAGCCCAGACTTGGCAGACAACTAAGAACAAAAGTCAATGCAGCTGTTCTACAACTATGGTTCAGTTCGGGGGTTCTTCCTAATTGAGGCCAGGGGCGCAACGGCAAAGGGGGAGCAACCCAATGCTGCCACCGCTTAATGACAGACCGAGAACAATGCAAATTGTTAATTGTTAAGTAAACCCCGAATTGTAAAGCGTAAAAAACTGTGTACCCGGTCAATAGCTCTCTATAATTATCAAGAAAAAAATAATCATGGAAGAAAACTGAGCAAATAAATGGAATTGGAATTGGTAATTCGTTAGTTGAGTAAACGTGAGATATTTAATGTGCAAAAGGTAAATGCCAGGAGAATAATGTATAGCTAATAGTATTTTTTTTCTCTTGCTTATTTAGCTATTAGGAAAACTGTAGAATTATTAAGGTAATTTTTAAACTAAAAACATATATATATTTCTAAAAATCTAACATAAAACATTTTACAACGAGCTCAAATATAAATTAAGTTTCATTACCATGTATTACGTAGTGGTTGTTTTTTTTTCTCTGTGCATAATATATGCGTACAGGTGCGCTGGCCCAGGTCACTGGCAGTGACCCCCGGGGCGGAAAAGATGATCCAGTGATCATGCCGTGCGATAATTGGCGCCGAATGGGAATGGAAACATTTTTATGAGGCTGAGGCACACGCTCCCTGACTGTTTGGCGAAACAATGTGTTTATGGATCGCACCAGATCGGTGCGCTGATTGCTTTATTCACAGCGGAAAGTTCTCCATCGGATCCATCAGAATCATCATCATCATCATCATCATCATCAGCATCCGTAATGATAAGCGAAGCCATCAACGGCTTGATTAATGCTAATCATCAGCCACATGCCGAGCTCGGTGTTATTTTCAGGCGGATGCAAGGGGATCGGAATTGGAATTGGAATTGGAATCGGAATGGAAGCGGAAAATCGGAACAAAAAACGAAGAAAAATGGGTAAAAGTAAAAGTTATTGGGTCGAAAATGGCAAGATAAAACTAGATATTCCAGATGTAAGATGTTAATAGATTTATTAACTATTGTTTTAAGGCAATCAAATTTGTATTTATTGAGTTACTAAATAAAATAAAATAATAAAATAGAATTTAATAAAATTACTGAAACCAAAAAGAAATAAAAAAAGACACAAAATTAACAGAATTTAGGTTGTGTAAATATATAAATGAAATATTGGATTTTAATTAATTGAAATTAAAAATGCTTGCACCCAATTTAAGGAATAACTTAGTAAAATAATAAAATATACAAATCATATTAATAAATTAAAATTAAAAATATTTGCAGTATTTATTAAAATTACTTGTTTGATTTATTTTATAAATCAGTTTATTTATAATTGTATTTTTATTTATAAATTTGTTTAAATTTGCATATTTTTTAAATTATAAAATGCAAAGTGAAAGTTTCTTTTACTTTTCTTTCCTTTTTTTTTTTAAGTTAAGTAAGTTCTGTGACAACGTAATAAATAAATCATCAGAGTTGCCACAAGAATGGGACTCCAAATGAGGACCAAGTGTCCCATAAACTGGAATTGGTGTGTGAAGTTTTCCCAGCGGCCAGCTTTTTTTTTTTTTTTTGAAATGGGGGGAATCCCTCGAAATCCCGTAGCCGCGACCTCGACACGTCCTTGACCTCCGCGCCGCAGGTCCCAATTCCCTTTGCGGCGAGCAAGAAACAAGGACAGCGGACGACAGCCTGTTATTGCTGTTGTTATTGTCCTCGTTGCCACCACACACATTAAATGCGAATTGAAAAATTCATTTTTAAGCATTTGTTTACATGGCGCTCTCTTCGCTCATGAACTCTAAGCACAAAGTCGAAAAGTTGAAAGACAAATAAACGACGGCAAAGTGCAAATAGGTAACAAAAGCAAAAAGCTAAAGGCAACCAAAAAAAAAAAAACATAACAAACACGGCGGCAACAACAACAAGAAAAATAACAATAAAAGACACAGATCAACAAAAATAAAACACAAACAAAAGGCCCCAGATGGAAATAGACGATGGAGCGGGGTAATGGTAATGAAATAAAGCAGAACGAAGCATAAATCGGGGTCGCAACGAACGCGTGAGTACTCTTATTCATAGAAATATACTCTATAAATATAATACATTTAATGAAATACAGAAAGAAAGAAAGCTAGCCAAGGAAAGCCAAAGTCCCTTGCAGTTTGTAGTTTGAACAGAATCGATCATAGCTAAGACAAAAATGCTTAGATTTTATAAAGTTAAGAAAATTACATTTAAAATTTTAAAAAAAATTTTAAACAATTTTAGGGACTAACAAAAATTAAAAAAAATAATTTTTTGACATTTTTAAAGATGCATAACATTTTTTAAAAAATTTACAAAAGTTCGGACATGGCTAAAACGATTCAGGTATTGATGCTAATCAAGAAAACGTATATAAAATAACTCCGAAATTCGGAAAGCTTTGCTATGCTAGTTTTAATTATTAATCAATAAATCTGCATACTAAATTTAATTTTTTGTTTAATTAAAATTTTTGTAAATTTTTAAGATCAAAAATATCACCTTATAAAATTTTGAAATAAATAATTTATTTTCCTCCAAACATGGCTAAAACAATTCGGATGCTAATCAAGAATATATATATACATTTTAAACTATTTTATTAAAATAAAAATAAAGAAACAAAAATATAATCAGTTAGTTCCAAATTATTTATAAAATAATTTCTCCAAATAAAATAACATCTATTGCTACTGTAAGATATAAGTAGCTTTCATCGCTGGAGAACATGGAAAATATATAATATAGAAAATAGGTGCTACTGATAGAACTTGATGCTGGCGCCATTGACGAGGCGTTAAAAACCCGGCAAACATGGTCGAGTTCATTTTCAGCACTCATTGTTGCCTGTTTTTTTATTTTATTTTTTTGCTAAATTTCGGGTTGTTTAATTTTCTGCCAATCTGCCAATTAATGGTGCCTTCGTTTTTTTAACCGATTTATCTGTTATTATTTTTCTGTTTTTATTATTTTTTTTTTGTTTTTGGCTGGGTGCTCCCGCTTATTGTTTATTGTTTATTTACATTTAGTATGCGAATTGTTATTGCTACCGTTTTTTCACTGTCGAGTGATTAACATTGAATTTTTGGGCTGCGGCTGGGAGATTTTTTGAGAATTTTTTTTTTTTTTTGAGGGGGAATGACAGCTGGCCGAAAGTGTCGGCAGCAGACTACAACAAAAAAAAAGAAACAACAAAAAGTTGAAACGTCAGTTGCAGGTTGAGCTTTTTGGCCAAGCTGTAAGCTGATATCCCAGGGCAACGGCGGCTGTCACCCCGAAATGTGCTCGAATTCTCAAGATTCTGCGGAGTGGGAACTGTGAGAGATCTGGGCTATTTATAGTGCCCTATAATTTATACTCAAACAAAGTCGAAACGGGGCGAGAAAAGTTCGCAGTTGCCCACAAATCAGATATATATATATACTATATATATATATATATATATATATATATATATATGGATCTGGCGAACTCCACTCTCCGCTCTGTTTACCTCTCGTGTTAGAGCCAATAACCAAAAACCAAACACTAAATGCCCAATGAATTTTAGCCAGAGATTTCCTTTCCTTTCGGAGGCTACTCCCCCTGACCCACAAACTGAGTGTGTGCGTGTGTGTGTGCTCGCCTTTTTGCTTATTTGTAATTGATACTTGATCTGGCGGAGCGTATAAAAGCCACTTTAGGCGTTGCCATTACGTCACCTTGAGTCAGCCTCAGATTTAGATTCGGACTCGGATTGGGATTCAGTTTTAGCGTCACTACAAATACAGCTAAAGCCAGAGATACGAAAACAGACACAGACACAGCTAAAGATACAACTACAGCTAAAGATACAACTACAGCTGCAGATACAGATACAGATACATATTCCAATTCGGATGCGAATTCCGAGTTCGAGTTTGAGAACGAACCCCACAACCAACAGTAACAAATCAAAAATTAAAAAATAACCAACAAGTGTAGTAGAATTTACCAATACTCTAACTTTAAATATTTAAGCTTCTATTTATAATATCTAGCTTAATTTATTTCTTTTACAAAACCTTAGCTATTTCCGATTTTCTTGATATTTAAACTATAAAAAAGCTGAACAGAATACACTCGAGTTTCCTTGAACATATTTGGTTTATATGGGATAAGTAATAAATCTGCAATCAAAGTTGTTTAAATAAGATGTTCAAGGAATTTTCAACTAAAATAATTCAAGGATTTCCACATTAAAGTTCTTGGAAAAAATTACAAGGTATATTTAAGAAAATATATCACATTTTTCCTTTAACATATTTTTGATTCCCTTAAATATATAATGATTGTATTTATTATAATTAATAAAAATTGAAAAAGTAGATAAACCTAAATTTCTAAAGACCCTCAAAGAGAGTGTGCTTGGGAAGTTAGTAAAAAAAATCCTAGCCGATATCTCAATCGAGCCAAAAAAGCGACATCTAAGTCGGCTCAACTCAGATCGTGAGCTGAGATCGCGACGACAGCAGCAACATCAAACAACACACCAGCAACAGTAGCAACAACTGCTACACTGGCCAAAATAAGGTATACAATAACAATACACTAACAAAATAATAATTAAGCAAGTATAAAATGGTAACTAATACAAGATTTTATATTTATGATTATATTTTTATTTTATTTGATTTATATTAATATTAATATAATACTAATAATTATATATAATAAATATTATTAATTATTTTTTTAATTTGGCAGCAAAACACCCACAAAGTATTACGATTAATAAGCAATAAGGAATTTGTTTTTATAAGCAAGTTTTATACAAAAATTTAATGCACAAAAGAATATATGTACATCACAGAAGTCCCAACCATTTAACGATCAATAAATAATACAAAATGGCTAATAAAAAACACAAATTTCCTATAAATTTAAAGACACACAGATATTACATGAGACAAGCTACTTTAATCTTTTCTACAAATATTTCTCAAGCCTTTGCAACAAGTTAAAGTTGATATTTATATGACTTTTTGAATAATCTGGCTTTATTAATGATTTTATTCCCCTGTGTAACTTCGAGCGGCGTCTGAAAACAGCTGTTTAAATTTCGGTTTCGGTTTCGGTTTCGATTTTGATTTTGATTTTTGTCGCTGGCTTTGGCTTTTGGGCATTGGCTGCTGTTTGACGCTCTTCACGCTTCGGAAATTTGTTCGCTGGATTTTCAACGACAAAGTCTGAAAACTGAAACTGGTCTGGCCACCACCACCCGCCCCCTTACCCTTACCCTTCGCCTTTGCCCTGCCCCCTGCTATCCAGCTCTCATGTGTGCGAGCGTTGAAAAGAAAAACATAAATTTTATACGAGTAATTTAAAAATTCATACAAAAGTTCAGCAAAGTCAGACAAAAAAAACGAAAAAACAAAAACCTGCGGTATTATTTTATTTATTTGCTGCTGCTGCTGCTGCTGCTGTTGCTGCTGCTTAATTAATCAGTTTTAATTTTAATTTTCCATAAATAAAAGCAGCAAATTGCGGGCCATTGTGGCCAGGCCAACAATGCTAGCAGAAAGTTGAATGTCAAAATGTAGCTGCGACCCTTCTAAAGGTAACACTGGAAAAACGCACAGAACAGCCCAGGAACAGGGGGTAAAGAACGTGGAAAAACCTCAAAAAGTGGGTGGCGGTAGCTTTTCCTTAGCCAGTTTTTGTTTTCTGGCAAGGACCAACAGCAGCAGCAGCAGCAAATGTCCTGCGGTAATAAAGTGAAAAACGAAACTTGGGGCGAGATGCGAGTTGTGGAGAAAAAGGGGCGGGGAATGGGGCATTTTCTGTAGAAAACCCCAAGCCAAAGCTGCAAGGAAATGCATTTGAATGGACTGCAGCTTAGGTGGGTCGCTGATTCCCCAAGGGGCCGAGGGAAATTCGTTCAAGGCAGGTGCAAAGCAGCTGCACGGAAAAAACACATACTAACTACTCTACTCTAGGTTACTGGGTTACTTTAGGAGAGCAAAAAAAAAAAATAATAAATAAATAAATGACGGGGCCCGGGGAAATCCCTGGAAAACGTGTTAACCCAGAAATATACATACATATGTATATATATATATATACAGTAATATAAAAACGTTTATCAATCGGCTTGTAACATTTATTTCTGCCTCTCTATAAATCAAAAATGTATTAACTTTTGCAGTCGCACGCGGCACACAAAACAAATACTATATGACAAACTGATAAACCACGGCGGTATCAGCGATAGTATAAGATTGATACGATTTTAAATCTCAAGTCGAGAACTCGTAAAACTCGGAAGACTTTGTTCCATAATCCCCAGCTAAGATCTGGCAGGCATCACAAAGTATTAATATCAATATTATATTAATTTTACGCTTATCTCTTGCTAAGTTAAACTAAATGTGCAAAAGTACATCCCAATATTGTGATTAATAAATCAAACAAAATACTTGATTTAATCTGGATAATTCCAGATGAGCACATGTGCATTTTCAATGCCGAAATCATGGGCTATTTGTTGATATTTGGTATATATAAGATGTTGTTTTGCGTTTTTATGGGATAAACACTTGATAAATGGGCATGGAATCTTTTATGTTTATGGGTTTCAATAATATTTGATGAGTACTTAACTGTGAAAATAACTCTTGAAATAATTTCAGTTCTGTTTTAACATTCTTGGCGATTAATTAATGATAGATCTGCAATAGATCAGCAATACATCTGTAATAGTTTTGTGATAGATTTGCGATAGATCTGGTTTAGAAATTGTTATAAATAAAAAAATAACGACTCTCAACCAAATAAAATAAAATATGCATATTAATTATATACATATTATTATATATACCACCTCGACTTTAGTAAGATCTGAGAGATCTAAGTTACAGTTCCGCTTTCAGCGTCTTTTGTTGCATTTTTGTTGGCTGACGTCTGCTGCTGCATTGCATCACTCGAAACAATTTCCACTTGTCTAGATTAGTCCCAGGAACGTTTCCACTGCCCTCGTAACTCGTAACTCCCCTTTAGCCCATGGCTACCCCCTCCCTTAACCCCATCTAGCCCATGGCGATGCCGATGCCGATGCCGCCGCCGCCACTTCATGGGCTGTCAAAGCGTCAAGCGTTTTGTTTGGTATTGAAATTCTAGACAAGATTGCGCTTAACTGCACTCCGTTCTCTGGGGGAATGTACTCGTGCCACATTTTTTCTTCTATTATTCTCTTTTTTTTTAGAGGAATGCAATTTTCCCGGGCGGGAGTTTTCCGGCAAAACGGGGGTGCCGTTATCACCGCAGACAAACAAGCAATTTAGCTACAACCCAGTATCTCCACTATTTCGTCCTTCTATTTTTCTATTTCGTTTTTTTTTTTTCGGGGGATGCTGCCTTGCCGTTAACCCATGAAGGCCAAGAGCAGCTGGCGAAAACAATTTCGATATCGATGAGGAAGCACCACTCCAAATCCTGGCTTTTAAAAAAAGTAAAGAAAAAAATAATGGGGGGAATTTTATGGAAAACTGGAACCCCCTCTTCAGCATCGCCCCAAAGCTTTGGCTTAAGCTTTTCCCTGTCTAGTTTATGAACATAGGGGCGTGGCAAAAACCAACAATGAAAACAAACAAAAATGGCAACAAAAAACGGCTTCGGCTTCGAATAACCAAACATCCATTAATCATAGTTTCCTGGTGTTAACACAAATGTGAAATTCTATCTCAAACGAGGTAGCAGCAGCAGCAAATAAATATTAATTAAGCGTTTATTGTTTAAAATCTGCATTAATTAGGCTAAGGGGAGAGACTATACTGAGATTTCCTGTAACCTTACTTTAATAATTAATTTTAAAGAATTTATTTTTAAATATTTTGTACATTAAAATTAGGGAAATTAGATTTTTCAACTGAAAAAGATTCTTTTTTCACCATTTTTAAATTCTAAAAGTTCTTAGTTCCTTAAAATTATAATTTTATTTAGTATTATAACAACAAAAAATTTGTTTAAAACTGGAGTTCATACTGAGTTTCATTCCGTGGGGGGCGGAATGGAAGAGAAGAGCAAATGTGGGTGGCTTAAAGTATTAGTTTTGGACTTGCAGCCTTTAATATCTGTTCTTATTTTTTTACACATTGAGCTTAAAACGGCGTGAGACAGGGAAAGACAAAGATTGAAAGAGAGACTGCGAGAGAAAACGAGAGAGCAAGTGATCTTTAAGCCTTATTTTAAAAAGCATTCAAAACAAAGAGAGTTCCTTTTGGCGGCGCACAGTGGAAGATAGGCCAAAATTGTTGGGAACTAAATGTTGTATTATTTTTATTAAAATAACACGTAATATTTTGTTTAAAAACAGATTAAAAAGCAAAACTTAATTGTCCTTCGAATATTGTTATACAACTTTTCTGAGCGAATTCCAAGACTCCAATGCAGCCCACTGTGCGTGGTGCTAAGAAGATCGAGTGGAAGAAGAAGAAGGCAGAGGCAGAAGAAATACAGAAGAGAGGAAGAGGAAGAGATCGCAGTTTTGTGTATCTCCCGAGCGCTGCGACGACGCCGTCGCCGTCGGGCAGAGCAGAGCACTTGTAGAATGCAACCGAAATTGTAAGAATAAGAATAACAATAACAAATGGCAAATAGCAGAAAAACAATAAATGAACTTGACTCTCAAACTTAGTTCTATGCACTTACTTGTTGTTGTTAGTGCTGTTGTTGTGACTTTGGTTTATCTGCTGCAAAAACACACACAAAACGCGGAGATCAGACGCGGAAAAACACAAAATCAAAACAAGAGGCAAACTAATTAAAAGGCAAACAAACTAACACACTCGCACACACACACACACGCTCACGCCGCCGGACTCCGCACACTTTGCACACAGTAAAAAAAAGTAAAAACAAAACCACGTTTTTTCGCTTCTGTTATTATTATTGGTTGCAATTATTATTATTGTTTTTTGGGGCAATGTCTGCAATGAAATTAAACCAAAGAACACTCACACGCGCCTACAATTACAAAATTTACTCTCGGCTGCCGCTCTTATCACACGTTCTTGCCGTTATTCCGATATTTCAAGTTTAGTTTCAGCTGCAGTTTTTTCTGGCTATGTTTTTGTTATAGTTTATCGTTTTTCGGTTGCTGTCAGTTCTCAGTTTTCAGTTGGTTGTTTTCCCGCCAAACAACGTCGAATTTTCCGTTTTCCGCGGCGACGCAGCCGTGACGCCGAAATTTGTTTTTGAAAAAAAAATGTTGCTTCGAATGGCTCGCTTGCACCCGTATTTATAGGATTCACTCGAGCTCGCTTCGAACGCGCTAGCATCGAGCATCGAACATGACGCTAAGGCCGCGCGCACACTACGAGCTGAAAGCGGAGCTGAGATAAGCGAGCTGATAATTTCAGTGCAAATTTCTAAGCTCAGCTCCGCTTTCAGTGTGCGCGCTCTCATACAAGTAGTGTGTTTGTTTCAGAGAGCTGATAAGCCGTCAGCCGTCAGCTCCGCTTTCAGCTCGTAGTGTGCGCGCGGCCTAATTGCCAGACCGGCGCACAGTGGTGCCTCTAGAACAAACACGGTTGCAATAGTCAGAAGTCATGATCGCAAAGGATCCCAAGGACTCGGAATATGCCACCAAAATAATATTTGGAAATTCATTGACTTATATTTGAAATAAATGTATATTTTTGTTACAGTTTTAAAATATTTTTATTCTATCAAACCAATATAAGTAAAGTTTAAAAATATTAAACTTAGTTAAAATATTTTTTTTAGGAAAAATTGATTTTTTCAGATTTATACTCTATAAAAAGGTTAATGCCTATAAAAATTTTACGACAATTACCTGTTAAATGCAGTTAAAATTATTCAGTTATATTATTCCATTCGAAAGCTTTGATTTTTGCAAAGAATAATGAGAAAAGGCGCTACTGTGTGGCGCACTGTTACTGCCAAAACTCCCTGTAATGACAATGTTTGACCACTGTTAGGCGGCTGTGAAGTTTTGAGGTTCGAAAGCGAACAAAACACAACAGGCTGGAACGGCAGTTCGGTTCGATGCTGTCTGGTTCGAAGGTTCGGTGCACTATGGGGAAAATTTGGTCCATTTGTATTTCTAAAAATAATTAAAATATTTACCACTTTAGTGTACATAAAAAATGCAACTCGAAAATAAACTAATCAATAAAATTAATACAATTACAATTGCCTCTGTCATATAAAAATTAAGCATTCGCTCTTCGTTATTACTTAAAATGTTTAAAAATATTCCATAGTGCGAAAGAATTGCTGCACCAAAATGTTGCGTGTTAAGTTGCGGTTAAATGCGAATGGCGTTGCAACATGTAGTTAAGATTTTTTAACAAAAATGCATTTGATTTAAAAATTCAAAAAAATATTTGAATTTCTTTCGCAAATTAATATTTTATTTTGTAGTTAAGTATACATAATTTCTATTGGACTAACTTTTAAATCCATGTAAATTTAACCATATATAAATAAATCAAAATAAACAACAATTATTAGATAGATCATAATCGATATTAACTTTATTTGAATATTATTTTTAAGCATACTTTAAATATGTATTTAATTTCTTAAATCTAAAGTAAGATTTGTGGCAGCCTACTTTTGGGTAACTTTTCAAGTGATTTTAAATCAGCACTAAATTTGCAGAAAAAAAATAACGAAAATCTTGTCCTAAACTCATTAGTTGCCCGTCCCGAATCAAGTAGCGAAAAGGACGTGACCCCCGACGTTGATTGAGATTATGGTTATGATCCAATTTGTGACTGGAAAAAGCGGCAAATGCTAATCAACTGCCAATTAGAATTAGAAATCCAAAGGATTCAGCGGATTCTCCAAGGGTGGCATTATGCAGGAGCTCAATGGATGCAAATTCAATTTACGGCGAAAGGGTCGTCCTTAGCTGAGTGTGTGTAAAAAAGTCATAACTTTTGCTGGCTTTTTTCTGGGAAATTTTGTCTGCTTTGTGCTGATGAAATTATTATCTATAATATATAAGATGCTAACAATAAAGTCCTCCCCTTAACCGGTTTCAGTGCCTTGTAAATCTGTAATACAATTTTCATTTATTTAAATCTAATTTAAATCATATTTTAAAAGAGCTTCAAGAATGCTTTGTGAACAATACAAACCACTCAAAGGATTCATTCAACTTTTGGTGAGTAGTATGCCCCTTGGTCATCCATCCATCAGAGTTGCCTCGGATTCGCCAAATCCTTCCGTTCGGGCCCCCACCCCCCCTGCAACCATTTTCCGGATCTTATAAATCTCCGGGGCTGTCGAATTAAGCACTTCTCTTCTCCCCGATATTGTTGGCCATAATTTCTGGAAACTTTGCCATCCTGTCAATTAGAAGCAGTCAGCAATTGCAGTTATCCCTGAGTCCTGCCGCCCATCGCCCACTTTTCTGCCACTGGACAAACTCATTTCACAGTAAATTAAAAGAAACTGTTAGTGGTGGCATTTGCAGTTGCACAAAGCGGGCTAGTGGGTGTGGGTGGAGGGGGGAGGGTCTGGCGGAAAAGGCAAACTGAAAACCGGAAAATCGGAAAATCGGGTCAGATCGAAGGGCATTCGTTGAGGCTGGACTTGGCATATGTTTATATATTCCCTTAACTGGAAAACTCTTTGCCAGAGAAAAGCTTAAATGCAGTTGGAAAATAAAAATATATATAAAATAAAAAGACTAGATTTAATTATTTAAAAAAATTTTAAAGTGGATAAATATAAAATTTGAAATTATATGAAATTTTTAAATATAAATAATAATTGTATTAAAAATCTATATATTTATGTATAAATCAATAAATTAATTTGATTTAATTGCATGTATTCAAAACTAATTAAATATTTTTTCAAAATTTAAAATTTCGATAAATAAAAGTTTACAACAGTTTCGATATCAATTTTATTATAATAATTTTCTTTATTAAAGGAATTTATTATAATAATTATTTATAATTATTTATTTATTATAATAAATTCCTTTAATGAAGTAATTTATTATAATAAAAACCAAATTTATTATACTAATAACCAAATTAATATGATATAATATTCCAAGTAAATGATTTTTTATAGATTATCTCCAGTGCAGGCTTGCGGTTTCATCTCTTTCCCTCTCGCCCGTGCATATATATGCTATGTATATTCCCCACTGGCATAAATAATTCAGAAAACAAAAGCCAGGCGACAGCTGAAATACGAGCGGCAAAAAGGACACCCAGGACATTTTAACCATTTCCTTGCGGGAGTCCCTCCTTGGCAGCATCTGCCTCCTGCTCCCGCTCCTGCTCCTGCTCCTCCCCCTCTCCGCTTTGGCTGTGCAAACCTCCTGCGCTGACAAATGACAAGTGCAGTCAACTTAATTACGGCAACGCAATCCCAGCAATCTCGGGCAGAACTCCAGTGTCCACTCCTCACATCCCCATCTCCATTCCCGCTACTGGCCATCATCAACAGGTTTTGGCATCCGCTTTCACTTTCAGGCCCAGGTGGGTGGAAACAAAAGAACTACTGCTGGGGGATGGAAATCGGAAGTGGGCGCTGGAAGGTGGAAGCTGGAAGGTAACAGTGGACGATGTCCACGTGTTGCATCTTGCATTTCCATCGGTTGCAGGGCGCCTCTGACTAATTGCTGCTTGTTGGCAGGCCCAGAAAAGGGGTAATTGCGGAAAATTGAGACTGCAAAGCAACCGAGGCGTCAGCTGGAGGCCATGTTCCATGTTCTTTTCGGCCTTGCACTATGGCATTCGATTTCTGACGATTGCCACCAGCACCTCTCACTCTGAGAAATCGGAGAAGAGGCTGTAGGGAATCACAGAAAACTGTTTCCGGAATTGGAATCAAGTATAAGGGATGTATATCGAGAGGAAAAGACCAAAAAACTTTAATATATACATTTTTTTTCATTTACAAAATGTAGAAATTAACGTAAAACTATCGGTGTTATCGAAAAAATATCTTAAAAAACACCGTATTTAGTTGATTTATTAGTAATAAATTCAAAATTCAATAAACCGATATTATGTTTGGTATATCGATTTTTCCACCATTTTCATTGCCATAAAAAGTTAAATAAAGGTTATAAAAGTGTTAAACCTAAGATAAATAATTTCAATCATTTCAATAAAAGGTTAAGTTAGGCCCATAGCTATCGATTTCAATAAAAGCTTCGTGTTCTTATTTTTCTTCTCTTTTTCTTACATTATTTTCCTTTCTTTTTCTTTATTTCTTTTTTTTCATATAAATCCCTTTTCAAACGTAGTGCGATTTTTTTAAGTGATCACAAAGGCTGCTCGCATAGGCAAAGCAACGAAACATGACGCTGAAGTTGCACCTTTACGCATCCAAATTACAGAGCACCTCCCCTCAAGGAACCCTCAAGGCCACCCCATTGATTTTCACGTTAATCAAAGGCGGACTTTTGACTTGAATTACGGGGGAAAAAGGATCTTTTGATTGTAGGCAAAAAAAAAAAAACTAGGGAAAACTAAGACCCAAGACCTAGGGTTTTTTTTCTTAAAAATCAATATACAGTAAAGAGCCTTTCAACCTGTTGACTTCTGTCGACTGACCGCAAAAGTAATGGGCAACCGCCACGCCCCACGCAGTGACCATCCCCATGCCCACCCTGTTATTCCATCGTAATGGATATTCTGTGGCCGCAGCTGGAGCTGTGCTGGTAAACAAAATGTATTCTAATTACGGAGCAGTAGCAGGAGCAGCAGCAGCTGCAGTGAGTGTCCTTGGGCCACATTTCAAGCACTAGCAGTGGCAGTGGCAGTGGCACTCCCCATCAATTGGCATCCTGCAGCTTATTTATTTACGACGCACTAGCGCCACTTCAGGTGGCCCGTGTCCCCTAGTAACCTGTCCTGGCGGTATTCCGTATCCTGTATCTCTGTATCCTGTCTCCCTGGTTGCGTGGCTTTTCAAGTAACTCATCTTGAAAGGGAACATGCTTTTTCTCAGTTAGGTTTTGCATTGCAAAAATATATATTTTTCTAGCTTTAATAAAAAAAGAAATTAAAAGTAATTACATTTTTCTGTCAGCTAAAATGTTAATTTGTATTAAATTAATTTTTTTTTAAATGAACTTTACCTGATTCCTTGTCGTTTTTTTCACTGTCGCACAGTAGCGCCTCTCGAACAATTAGCGTTGCAAAAATCGAAAAAGTCATGCCCGCAAAAACGATTTTAACCATACTTAAAA